AGAGAGAGAGAGAGAGAGAGAGAGAGAGAGAGAGAGAGAGAGGGACTTAGCCACGTCCAGCCACGAGTAAGAATCTTGGAAGCGTTCACCGGACGTGGTACAGGTGTGTGTGTGTGTGTGAGGTGGCCGCGTTCACTCCGACAACGCGACTCAGCGGCACAATGAAGGTCGAGCTTACCACATCCTCCACTACACTCCGTCCCTATCACCACCACTACCACCTTCACCTTCTGCTCCTCCTCCTCCTCCTCCTCCTGCTACTACTGCTGCTAGTATATACACACTCTCTCTCTCTCTCTCTCTCTCTCTTTGCTATACAGTGTTAATATAGAGCTAAAACAAGGTATATTATTTGCTTACGTGTATTTGTATGTTGATATGTAGTGTTTATCTGTCTGTCTGTGTCTCTTTATCTTCTGTTTTGTCTCTTATATCTCTCCATGTCTCTTCTCTCTCTTTTCATTCCGCTTATATGTTTAGATGCTTTCTCTTTCCCCTTTCTATGCCTCCGTCTTCCTTTTCTTTCTCTCTCTCTTCCTTTCTGTCTTCTCCTCTCTTTCTCTCTCTCATTCTCTAAACCTTCTCTCAAGATCAGTTCTCCTTCCATCGACTCTCTTTACAGCGTTTTCTGGTGACTTGAATTGAGAGAGAGAGAGAGAGAGAGAGAGAGAGAGAGAGAGAGAGAGAGAGACTAGATTGTCTTCATGAAGGTTAAGACATGATATAATTTAGTTCAGTTTATTTTTAGATGAGAAAAAAAAATACTCTCTTACTCTCACACTAATCTCTCTCTCACACACACATACTATCTCTCTTTTTCTCTCTCTTTATCTCACACACACTCTCTGATAATGTTCAATGAGAAATAAAACAGGATATAATACTTAAGAACGTCTATGTTTTCTCTCTCTTTAAAATCCATTTTGTCTGTCTCTTTAAATCTCTTTAATTTATCTCTCTCTCGCTCTGTCCTTTTAAACTTCTCTTTAATCCCCCCTCTCTCGCTCTGCCCTTTTAAACTTCTCTTTAATCCCCCCTCTCTCTCGCTCTGCCCTTTTAAACTTCTCTTTAATCCCCTCTCTCTCGCTCTGCCCTTTTAAACCTCTCTTTAATCCCCCCCTCTCTCGCTCTGCCCTTTTAAACTTCTCTTTAATACCCCCTCTCTCTCGCTCTGCCCTTTTAAACTTCTCTTTAATCCCCCCTCTCTCGCTCTGCCCTTTTAAACTTCTCTTTAATCCCCCCTCTTTCTCTCTCTCACTGTTCTTTTAAATCTTTCTTTCTCTTTAAATATATCTTTAAACTCCTTTCCCTCTCTTTAAAACCCTTCCCTCCCTCTCTATCTTTCAGTCCTTTTTACTCTCTCTCTCTCTCCCTCTCTCACTATCTCTCTCTGTCTCCGGGGCTCTCAGTAGTGACCACAGACCCTTAACGTTACTGTCAGACGGGATGTTTCGTCATATCACTCACCTCTCCTTACTGTCTTGGCCTTTACCGTCACTTACACAATCACACACACACACTACAGTTATCCCGTTACTAACAGTGCCATACTGTAACGCTAACCCGCACTCTATCATGTTACCGTGCGTGTCTAAGGCATGATCATCAATATTTAGTCAATGGTCATCAATATTTACTCAATGGTCATCTATAGTTAGTCAATGATCATCAATAGTTCGTCAACAATCGTCGATATTTAGTCAATAATCATCAATATTTAGTCAATAATCATCAATATTTAGTCAATAATCGATATTTAGTCAATAATCATCAATATTTAGTCAATAATCATCAATATTTAGTCAATAATCATCAATATTTAGTCAATGATCATCAATATTTAGTCAACGATCATCAATATTTAGTCAATAATTTTAATCATCAATATCTAGTCAATAATCATCAATATCTAGTCAATAATCATCAATATTTAGTCAATAATCATCAAGATTTAGTCAATGATCATCAATTTCTACATATAATAATTTTTTTTCAGCTGGAATAAATTCTCTATTATGGTGGATATATGTATTTCCACCTCCTGTTACAGCTCTGTATTCAATTATGTATTTAGAGTTACGCCTGTAGTCTCCCTTCCCGTTACAGCGATACAGTTATTCTACAAACCCGATATTTCTAGTAACGTACAGTACAGCCACCAGCCACGATGTAATGATTTATGTACAATATAGAAGCTTCACGCCATAAGGTTTTACATGTGCTAATTTAGTACATTAGTTGTTAAATTATACGTCTTTCAGATACTCAAAATAGCCACAATATATAAGTAATTTAAGTACAATTGTAAAGCTCATAGGAAACATTAACTTATATTGTGTGTTGTAAGTAGGGAAGTGTGGTAGAAATAGTAGTAGGGAAATATAGTAGTAGTAGTAGTAGTAGTAGTAGTAGTAGTAGTAGTAGTAGTAGTAGTAGTAGTAGCAGTAGTCCTCTCCTTATTTATACAAGTCACTGAGGAATTCATATCACTCAGACGCGGCCAAATGACTCACTGTAGACCCCGGGCTGTAGGTGGTGCAGGGGGTGGTGGGGTGTGTGGGGTGAGGGTGGTAGTTGTGGTGAGGGTGGTAGCTGTGGTGAGGGTGGTAGTTGTGGTGAGGGTGGTACTTGTGGTGAGGGTGGTAGTTGTGGTGAGGGTGGTAGCTGTGGTGAGGGTGGTAGCTGTGGTGAGGGTGGGTAGTAGTGACGGGTGAGTGTAATAGTGATAGTTGCTATAGTAGTAGTAGTAATAGTAGCAGTGGTGATAATGGCAACTGTGGTAGTGGGAATGACAGTAGTGGTGGTAGCTATGATAGTGGTAATGGTGGTACTGGTTGGTGGTGATGACAGGAGGGCGGGGTCGAACAAAAGGTGTGATCGAGCAGGTAAGGAACACCTCTAAACCTAAACTAACCTAACCTATCACACCGTACACAACTCCAAGGTCTAGCCACGCCTTAATTGCAACCACCAACTTCATAGACACTCTCTTGACAGTTCCTAAACCCCGTGATTGGTTTTATTTGACAAGTTCATTCCTTAAAACACCCCAGACTGGTTTATCGGACATCTTATAATCACCTCAGACTGGTTTATCGGGCTCCTTAAACCTGTGAAATTGGTTTATCGGACTCCTTAAACCTGTGAAATTGGTTTAACGGACCCCTTAAACCTGTGAAATTGGTTTAACGGACCCCTTAAACCTGTGAAATTGGTTTAACGGACCCCTTAAACCTGTGAAATTGGTTTATCGGACTCCTTAAACCTCTGAAATTGGTTTAATGGACTCCTTAAACCTCTGAAATTGGTTCATCTGGTATATGTTTAATTGATTTCTTGACTTAAATATAATTAGATCTTTTCGTGAATCTGTCTGTCTGTCTGGCTGACTCCCACTGTCTACCCGTCACTGTCTGTCTGTTTTACACTCGTTGTTTGTCTAGCTGTCTCTGTTTGTTTCCCTCGCTCTGTTTTTCTTTCCTTTTGTGTTTATTTTTCTCTACCCGTCTTTGTCTGTCTGTTTGTGTGTCATTCTCTGTCGCTTTCTCTGCTTTTTGTCATTCTTAGTTATTCAGTTTTGTGTCATTCTTTGTTCATCATTCTCTGTCATTCTCTCTGTAATTTCGTTTTTTTTTGTCTGTATGTAACTTTCTGGTCATCTGCCGTTGTGTTCCTCTGTCTGTCTCTCTTCACTTGTCTTCCCGTTTATCTGTCTATAATTACTTTACAATCTCTTAAGTCACTCTAACCTCTCTCTTTTTCCCTCGTACACACACACACACACACACACACACACACACACACACACACAGAGCAACACACACACAGAGCAACACACACACACACACACACACAACACCATTTACAACCTTACGTTAAATATCACTGGAATCAACTATCACACTTAAACACTGGCTACAGACGGCCCCTTTGTTCACAGTAACTGGGCAGTGTTTGTCACCGACGCCATGGCAGGAGATTCAATAGATCACGTAAAGATTGGACACCCCCCTTCCAGTTTGTTTCACCATGATGATTAAAACACCCTAATGCAACCTTTTTTGTGGGGTTAGGTTAGTTTAGGTGGGTTGGTTTGGTTTGGTTAAGTGAGCTGGTTTGGGTTAAATTTGGTTGGTTGGTTAGATTAGTCTGGTCTGGTTAAGTTAGGGAAGTTGGGTTTATTACAGCAGGTTTGGTTGGTCAGGTTAGGTTGACTTATTAGCTTTGGTTGGTAAGATTAGGTTGACTTATTAGCTTTGGTTGGTAAGGTTAGGTATACTTATTAGCTTTGGTTAATCAGGTTAAGTTAGATTAGGTTGACTTATTAGCTTGGTTGGTTAGGTTAGGTTGGTTGTGTTAAATTAGCTTTGGTTGGTTCGTAGTCCCAAGATCGAGCGGGTTCCATGATTGAGGCAAGTCCTTTGATTGCCCGTGGCATGGCAACTGTTGTGTGTGTGTGTGTGTGTGTGAATTTAACCCCTTTCTGCCTTATTTATCTCATCTTTAATCTCTTTCATCTATCTTTCTCTCACTTTATTTTATGTTCCCCCCTTTCTCTCTTCTCTTTCTCCCTCCTTCAACCTTTTATCTCTCTATCTCTCTCTCTCTCTCTCTCCAATCTGTCTACCATCTTCCTCCCTCTCTCCGTCTCTATACCCTCCTTCTATCTCTCCATTTATATCTTCATGTCTTTCTCTATCCCTTAGTGTCTCTGCCCAGTGTCTATCTCCCTCTCTATCTCTCCCTGTCTTTTTCTTTCTCTCCTGGCGTGTTCAGTGGTAGCATCTCTCTGGTATTGTTCAAACACCCAGCTTCCACCACACTGTCACGTTCAAGATACAATTAAATATATACTTCTCACACATATATTTATTACGAGAAAATCAATATTAATTAGCTCGTTGGATATAAAAAAAATTGATATAGATAATAAATTGATGACCCCCCCACCCCACGAAATAAACAATAAATACAACATCAACTTTAAGATTCTCACTTACCATCCTGTCTGAAGTTGCTGCCTCCGACGATCACTTAAAAAAAAAAATTCCCGGCTAGTTTCGTAAAAATAGTCGTGCGTGACAAACTAGCTGCTGCTTCTGTTGGTGATTTTCTCTTTTCTATTCCGTATTTAAAATCACGAGTTTAAAGACTGATAAACTTGATCAAACTTTAAAAACAAATGGGAGTTTTAAGAATGATATCAAAACTAAGAGTCTTGCCCGGTTATGGTAGCTGAGAGCGCAGATCGACGTGTACGCCACCGATGCTCCACCCAGAATGGATCAGCTGTCTTGCCGCCCGGCCTTCTTATAACCCCTCCCCTCTCAAGTCACGTGACACGCCCGCCACATCATCAAAATTCACGGTAACGCGGGAAAACAGAGGTAAACTTCCCTGACTATAAGACCCACAGTTCCTTGGTTCTGACAGTGACTCATTACCTTAGGAAGGAACAAAAATGTGTGCTAGGTGATAGGGATGAACTATCTAGATTTTTTTAAAAGACTGTTACGGTAAGAGTTAAATAAGGTTAATTAATATACTGTAGTGGTAGTAATGTGAATATTCCACTTAGTATGTAATTATATCGTTAATTAAATAAGACTTAAGGAAGCTTTTATTAAGTTTAGTCAAGTTCTTCATTATTATTATTATTATTATTATTATTATTAGTAGTAGTAGTAGTAGTAGTCAGTAGTCGTAGTAACAGTAGTAGTAGTAGAAGTAATAATAGTTGACGTAGTAGTAATATTATCATTATTATTATTATCATCATGACTATTATTATCATCATTATTACTAGAGCACATCTATAACAGCAGTTAGAACGAGTGAATGGCTACTGAACTGAAAGTAGAAAGTGTGTATATATTTGTTCTTGTTACCAGTCACACAGTTAACAGTCTAACTTCTCTCTCTACCTTTTTATGTTTATCCATCTATTTTTATGTCTATCTATCTATCTACCCATTTACCTGCCTAACCACCCACCTATGTATCTACTCGTCTACCGTCTATTCATCTATCTACCCATTTAACTGTCTATCCATCTATATATCTATCTACCCATTTACCTACCTAAACATCCATCTGCCTATCCATCTATCTGCCTATCCATCTATCTATCTATCTACCCCTTTACCTGTCTTACCATCCATCTGTCTATCCATCTATATATTTTACCTATTACCATTATTATTACTGTATTTCTATTAGTGACAGTAGTAGTAGTGATAAAATTTGTATCATCACAATTATTACATTATTAAAACCTAATTATAACACAATGTAGTATCATTCAAATTAATTACCGTTTTTAGTCACTTCCCTGATTTATCATCCATACCATCATTTCCTCTTTGTCGTTAATTAATTACTTCCATCTCTGTTTAATATTTTTCTCCCCTTTACATTTCTCATTCTGATTCAATTATTTTTTTTTATTTTTTTACATTTAATTTGGACACTCGTTTGACTATTAATCATTTTATCTTTCTATTTTTCTAATGTAATTTTGACACTCATAAGAATATTAATTAGTTTCTTTATTTAATATATAATTTATTTTAGACCCTCGTGTGACTCTTATTATATTTACAGTAATTTGATTTGGACGCTCAACTGACTATAAATCCCGCGTTAAGTAGTTCCAATTTACGCCTTTCCTGATCTCACTGATGGATGTTTTTCCTTTAGCTTTTACTTTATATAATTCCGTATTTATTTTATTTTTCTGTGTCGATATTTAACATTAATTTATATTATAGTTTTCATTGTATTTAGTAGTAGTAGTAGTAGTATTGTTGTTGTTGTTGTTGTTATTATTGTTATTATTATTATCATTATATGTTTTTATCTCTTAAAGGGAGGTAGGGAGGGAGGGTAGGTGTGAGGGAGGGAGAATAGGGAGGGAGGAGTAGGTGTGAAGGGAAGGGGGAAGAGAGGGAGGGAGGGTAGGTGTGAAGGGAAGGGGAAGGAGAGAGGGAGGGAGGGTAGGTGTGAAGGGAGGGAGGAGTAGGTGTGAAGGGAGGGGAGGGAGGATAAGAGGGAACATGTCAAGGGAAGGGGAGTGTGGAAAGGTGGAGGTGGGTGGGAAGGTGTGGAAGGGAGGGGAGATGCGGGGAAGAGAGGGAGATAGGGAAAGAGGATGGGAGGGAGGGAGTGTGGAAGGAAGAGGGAAGGAAGGAGGGAAAGTGAAAAAAGGTAGAGAGAGAGAGAGAGAGAGAGAGAGAGAGAGAGAGAGAGAGAGAGAGAGAGAGAGAGAGAGAGATGTCACCGACAAGTTGCCAAATTAGGACAAAAACAACAATAACAAAAGCAGAAAAACCGGACAAACAAATAACCATACAGTTAATTTATGTGTGTCTGTGTGTGTGTGTGTAATAATAATAATAATAATAATAATAATAATAATAATTAACGGTTTATTGAAAGAGCATGGCAGCCGGAAGGCTGAAAATATACAGTTGCATAATTGGGGAAAGGGTCACTTGATTGACCAATAATATACAAGTAACATAAGTGATAAGTATGATATATAATAACTAGATGGGGAGCTCAAACTACAGGGCATTTCAACATAGTAACAGTGCAGAAAGGTAAGATTAACTGGGAGTGAATACACTGGTTGATTACAAGTAATTGATAATTTTTACATTGGTGGGGACTGGACTGTTCTTATAGCGATCAGTACTTGCCCGTATGGGCTGGATGTGGTTGTGGTGTCGAACAGCAATTCTCGGACGAGGGACCTCGGGTGGTAGTAGGAGCCGGTGTCGAGGATGGTGCAGCAGCTTCTCACCAAATTTGCAGATGAGGTCGTGGTGATTGTCAGAGAGAGCCGAGAGGGTCAATGTGTTGAGCGCTTCTTGATATGTGGAGTAGGAAGGGGAGAGAACAATTTTGCGTGCCCTCTTTTGCACTTTTTCTAGGTGTTTACGTTGTGTGGCATTTAGGGAGGAAGACCAGGTAGGGGAGGCAAAGGTGAGCTTGGGAAGTGTGAATGTTGAGTAACACTGAGGAGCTCGGGCGCAGGAACTCCGAGGGACTTGAGTTGGCGGAGGAGGTGGAGACGTAAACTGGAGGATTTGACAACTCCACTGACGTGTTTTCCAATTTAGTTTGTTGTCTATGGTGACGCCGAGGAGCTTAGTGGAATCTACAACCTGGAGTGTGTTCGGACCTAGGGTGATGGAAGGGACAATGTCGGAGGAGAGGTTGATGTGCATAACCATGGTCTTGGTATGGTTGATGGTGACGTGGTTGTTGGTGGCCCAATTTTGGAGACTGTTCAATAAATCCTGGAGGGCTGTATAGTCGGGAGCAGAATTGTTGACACTGATCCCAATGGTGGAGTCGTCGACATATTTCCAACGAGCAGGGGTTTCTTTTGGGGCATCATTGATAAGCATAAGGAAGCATAGTGGTCCCATCTTGGTGCCTTGGGGGACGCCACAGGTGAGTGACTGTGGGTGTGGGTGTGGGTGTGGGTGTGTGTGTGTGTGTGTGTGCGTAAGACATCTGAATAAAATCTTCACTCCAGTTTTATTGCTTAGATGATAATAGTAATAACAATAATAATAAGAAAAATAAGAAGAACATGAAGAACATGAACACCGACAACAACAACAACAACAACAATTACGATAAATCTCACAATATTACGTTAAGTAGGAATCACTTTACGAGATATAAATAAAACTGCACGCTCACCATCTTAGTGACGTCATCATCCACAGCTCTCACACACGCTCACCATCTTAGTGACGTCATCATCCACAGCTCTCACACACGTTCATCATCTTAGTGACGTCATCATCCACAGCTCTTACACCCGGTCTACACTTACAACGAATCGTAAGCTAAGTATTTCTCCTAAGTTAAGATACACGTTGATTCACTCGCTGGTGGCCCTGAGTGAGTGAGTGTTGAAAATATGGCTGTTATTTATTATGTATATAGTCATTTATCTATTTTCAGCATAAATATTTTGAGGTTACATTCTTAATTAAGTTCACCTAATACCTGGTTCCTTGATGCCATGTATATACTGTATATATTAAGCTACAGGTATGTACATTTTACCTGTGACTAGTGACAGCTCTCATATACCAAAATTTATCGTCCATGATCTCATATTGTTTCCCGCAAAGTATGCACAGATAGTTGTTTTAGCTACTGTACATGGGAAAAAAATATAAATATATTTTCCATCACAAATTATTATTTTTTCGTTCTCGTACGCCATGTTTTGCTTTTCACTAGTCTCTCATTGGTTTGTGAATCAGCCAATCAGAAGCCATTGTTCCTCTAATGGGTTACAGGTACCCGTTAAATTTTATCCCTGCGAACCTGTTGCCTATGTACAGTACGAGACATCAGGGGCAAAGCGCGCTCTTACGTACTATCAACAACACGTATCATTTTATCGCAACACCAACAAACGAATCTGCTGAAAATTAACCTAACCTAACCTAACCAAACCTAATCTAATCGCAACCTAATCTAACCCCAACCTAACCTACCCCAACCTAACCTAACCATAACAAGTCACCAGTCTCCTCGTATCCTTCAACCATAACAACAAATATCTCCTAATACCTCTAGCCTTTGTCCTCTCTATCCTAGTCCACCTTCATTCACCACCGGATCTTCACTCGTCCACCTAAAACTTCTTTTCAACTCAGGGAAATAATAGAAGGAAAAAAAGTGTTCTGTCATGGATGATGGGCTTTGTGTACCAATTTCTCTTTCTCTTTTTTTTTTTTATCTCTCAGGTGAATATATTCGTCATTCGTGGGTCATATTCAGTCATTCGTGGGTCAGATATTACGGTTCACTGTGCGTACCTCAAGTCAAGTCCAATTTCTGGTAAGGAATTTGTTCTACGTGTTTTCTTTCAGGTCGCTTATTATCTCTTAAGTATCTTATCCTATAGCGACGAGATAGTAAACAAAGGGACAGAAAAACAATAATAATAATATTCCAGGAAAGTATAACACGACTAAACCTTAACATTAAAACAAAACCTAAAAAAAAGACGCAAGGTCGTTGTACAAGCCCCCGCGCCAGGAGTCTGTTCGCTGGGCCGAGGAGGGAACCTGACTCACAGCTGCCAACCGCGCCACTCCGGAAACCCACATGAGCTGTCAACCCGGTTACGCCACATCGCACTTACGCTTTAATTTTTATCTTCTTTGATTTTTAAGCAGTAATGACAGTAAAAAGTGAAGCATCTCGAAAGTTTTAGTCACTTCCGCGAACAAAATGAACAGTTAAGC